ACTCAAAACTTCTGAGTTCTAGCCTTTTGGCTCTATAACTTGCTTTTGAAGAAAAGTGAGAAGACAAATCTTAAAGTGTTGTACAAGCATGTTATGAGTTTAAAGAGGCTTTAGACACATTTCTTTTGGTTTATAGGGGTTGTGTGTGCAGAAAGAACAAGTGCAAAGCTCAAGAAGTTGACAATTGCAAAAGTGATGCTTTATCAAAATGGAAATGGCAACTTTGTGCCATAAATGGAAAATCACTTTGGACAAAGCTTAAACCAAGTAGATAAGGGTCTAAAGAGTTATGTAAACCATTAATTATGGAGTGAAAATCAAGTTAGAAGCCTGCAAAGTTAGATTTGCACAGCATGCTTGAAGATTGGATCAAGTGTTCTTCACAAAATGGCTTGTAATTCAAGTTTGAAAACCCTAACTTCTTGTCTTTGATTCTCCTTGCTCAAGTATGATCTCAATGAGTTCTATGACATTTTGGAAAGCTTGTAACATACTCTACAACCTCTATGTTGGTAATTTTTGAAAATTCCTCTTGGAACTATGGGAACTATTTCCATGAAGTTAGGGCAAAATCCTGCCTAAACTAGGGCAAAATTTCACTAAGTTTCCAAGTTTCATGAATATGTATTCGCAAAATCATAACTTGAAATCCATTCATTTCTAGGAGAAGTTGCGTTCTTAATTTTTTTAGATCTAATTGATATCTACAACTTTCATGTTGAAAGTTTCCTTTGAATCATCTTGCATGATGGTAAAAAATTGGCTCAAAGTTGTGAAAAAATATGAATTTTCAAACACTTAGAAAATTTTCTAAGTTTAGAAATTTTGACTTTTCAAAATGAAATCTTGAATTTTTGATTTCTTGATGAACAAGTTTCATATTTTGACATGTTTGATGAATTATGATCTTTGATACTTGATTTTGACCAAAAAGTCAAAGTTTGACTTTTGAGTGTACAATTGACTTTTGATCAGTTGACTAAAAATCAATTATCAATCAATTGATCTTGAGGGAAGTTTTGAGTCATTACATTAGGTAAAAATGATGCAATTGAATCCTTGAGATCGTGTATCAAACCAATCAACAATTTTCTAGGTCAAAAATCAGAAATTGCACCTTCTCAGTCAAAACCCTAATTTTGACCATTTTGCCCTTTTGATGATCTGATCAAATTTCTTGAAGAATTATGGTCCAAACTTGATCAAATGACATATATGAGTTCATAATATTGATATGGATCAAAGATTATGAAGTTTGACTGTAAATTGACCATAGTTGACTTTTTCCCCAATATAGTTGATTTTTAGGTCAACTGATCAATTGATTGAGCAAAAATGTGATCCAAGACTTGAAACTTGTTATGAGCAATATTAAGAGTCCAAAATGATCCATTAAATTCATATGGGGCATTAAAAGTTCATTTATCCTTGTGCAATCTCAAACCCTAATTTTCAGTCATCAGTGCTTGAGGAGGTGTCTTGAGCTGATCAACCCTAGTGAAGTCTTGAGCCAAAGGAGATATTGTGAGAGATTACTTGATAAATGAGAGGGAAAATTTTGGGGTACAACATGGTACATATGGAAAAATGAGTTATCTGCATTGCATGGGATACACTAAGGCGTTTACGTTGGAAAAATGTGAGAAAAGCACGTGGTTTGACTGTCACCGCAGATTCTACCAAGAAACCATTCTTATAAAAGAAACAAGACAAATTTTAAAAAAAGACGAACGGGTAACAGATTTTACTTCGCCTCGATTGTCACCAGGTGTTGTATGAAACCAAGTTTGTGAACTACCAAAATTCACAGATACTAGTAAAGCATGTAAAATTCAAGGATCTGGTGTCACACACAACTGGACAAAAATAAGTATATTTTGGGACCTCCCGTATTGGAAAGATAATTTGTTGTGCCATAATCTTGATGTTATGCATATTGAGAAGAACTTTTTTGATAATGTATTTAACACAGTTATGGATGTTAAAGACAAAACAAAAGATAATGAGAATGCTAGACAAGACATGAAAACTTGGTGTAATCGAAAAGAGTTGGAGTTGAAGCCTCAACCGAATGGAAAATTATTAAAAACCCAAGACTTGTTTTACCCTGACTTCCGAAGAAGTTAAATGGGTTTGTCGATGGTTAAAAGAATTGAGAATGCCCGATGGTTATTCTTCAAATTTATCAAGGTGTTCCGATGCTAACACTGAGAAGTTACATGGTATGAAAAGTCACGAGTGCCATGTTTTTATGGAACAATTGCTACCAATTGCGTTCGGTTCACTATCCACACATGTGCTTTATCCACTAACTAAAATTAGTCAATTTCTTAGAGATATTTGTGCGTCAGTTTTAAGAGTGGATCACATTATTAAGTTGGAACCTTTTGGTATATGTCCCAATTGGATAGGCAAATAAGTCTTTGAGTAACTTCTTCTCTATAAAGATACACCCAAATTTAAGGCTAAATCTGAAAATGAAAAGAAAATGAGAGCATCTTAAAAAAAAGGGGTAGCCTTAATGCGGTTGAAAGTATAAGTATTGCTGAGCATGCTCGGCGAATGGTAATTATTATAACCTTTTAAATTATATTTTTATTTATAATATATATTTTTAAAAAGACCCAGAGAAAATAATCGGGGATTTTGTTGACAAACGTACACAAAAAGCTATGACAAGTTATTTAATTTAAGTTGTTTTTTATTTTTTATTTAATGGCAACTTTGCCATGTAATTTTCACGTGGCAAGTGAGATGTGGTGAGGTGAAAATCACGTGACAAATGAGCTGTTGTGGCGTGAAAATCACGTGGCTATATTTCATTTATTATTTAATTTAATTTAACTTAATTTTTTTATCATATATGTAGGAGGATTATCAGACATTGCTCTCAGAAATTTTGGTTGATAATCCTCAATATACTCCAAGAGGTTCAGAGCCGCTTCATCCAGATGTGGATTTTTATATTTCGGGTAAAGTTAATGGCGGAAAGGGGCCTAACGAGTGTGTTTTTGGTGGTGGAAATTTGACGGGCACCTATAAAAAAGGTGATAGAAATTTGTTTCAAAGAGTTAGAGGTGGAAAAGGATCGTTGTGTCCACCACAATTGACACCGAAAATGCAAGAAACAATGATAATTGGCGAGAACCGAGATAAGATGCTTGTCAGCGCAACGTGAGGTGACAATGAAGGCCAAGACGGCGCAACATGAGGCAGAAATGAAGGTCCAAATGAATTGGAAAAAGCGGCAATTGGAGGCAATGACGAAGAGGAAAATTGTAATGGAGGCACAATTTCGGCAATTTATACAATTTCAAAGTATGAGTAATCAATTGTTTGGTGGAAATGAAAGAAATGGTGGTCAAGAACATATGAATGAGGAGAATAATGAAGATGATTTTAACCTTGATCTATAGGATTTATTTTATTTTTATTTTGCTTTTAAATTTTAATTTGTGTAAGATACTAATTAAATTTTTTTATATTATTTAGTATTTAGTTAATGATTTTTTTTATAATTTGATTTTAATAATTTATTAATTTTAGTTAAATGATTTATTTAATTTAAAAATTATTTTTAATATTTAATTTATTTAATATTAATGGTTTATTAATTTATTTAGTATAAATATATATATATTAATGTCACAAATTTATATGATATTCACAAATTTAATTTATTTAATATTAATGGTTTATTAATTTATTTATTTAAAAAAATTGATTTAGTGATGTGATTTCAATGTCACAAATTTATGACATGAAAATCACGTCGCAAACTATTGACATTATATTATTATTAATGACGTAATTTTCATGTCACAAATTTGTGATATGAAAATCACGTAGCAAATATCGCTATCACTGAAATACTGTGGATATTTGTGCAAAATGTTGTGACGTGATTTTCATTTCACAACTCTGACACGAAACTCACGTCATTAATAAGTTACCACACGCTCTCCTGCGGTGTGTTCAGTCATGTCGTAAAAAATCATTTGTTAGATAATATTAACGATTATGATGTGATATTCACGTCACAAATAACAATATTTTTTTGTAGTGACGGTGTGTACTTTTTTAGAGTTGATACATAGTGAAACAATATGTGAAACAATACAAACAAAAAAATAAAATAATATACTGATGACTCTTTATTTTCTAGTATTCTAATTTTTTTAAATTAAAAATCATGCAAAATTATGTAATTATATATAAAAGTTAAATAATATGATTGGGGTCAGAAAATTTACATAACTGAGAGTATTTCTTAAATTCCCCTCTTTGTCAAAGTGTCATTGGTATAACTTTTCCCTCTATCCTTATTCCCACGAAGAAAAAAATCTCCTAATAGTTAAATATTCTTGGTCCTTTTTTATGGTGGTCTCCAGTTCTGCGCAGGTGATAGGTTGAGCTCTAGCTTCAGCCTTCACATATGTGGTGTTTTCTATTTTGGCTTTTGTGTTGTTCTTAGGGTGTTTCTTTGTATCTTTCTCTTTTGTTGGGTCATTCATTATATTATGCTTATTTATTTATTTTCTTAATTGCTATCACCTGATACATCTTGATAACACAACTCTTTTAGTTTGGTGGACGGTTTTTGCCTTTCTTATATGTATAATTAAAAAACAGCTCTTTCCACAAGTTATTTTAAATTTGAGAGCGAGTTAATAGAAAATTATTTTCTTGAAGCCGTACCAAGGGGTTGTCTTGATACTGTAAAAATAAAAAGAGAAGGAATTGTTTTGATTTGTTTCCGCATGAATAAAGAATCGTTTGTTGGCCAGTTGCGGAAAGTATACTTAATTTATTCCATTTAGCTATTTCCGAAAGCGACACTAATATTCTTCACTTTTCTCAGTTTTTATTTCGCTTAATTTATTCCCTTTAAAAACCTCTATATAAAGCATGCCACATTTAGCTTTTCTCAGCAACCAATCTCATACAAAAACCTCAACTAAAACTACACACATTCCTCACATATCAACATTTGTATCACAATGGAGAGAGTAACAAGGATGGTTTCAGAGAGGCCAGTGGTGATATTCAGCAAGAGTTCATGTTGCATGAGTCATACAATAAAGACACTTTTTTGTGACTTTGGTGTGAATCCAGCAGTTTATGAACTTGATGAGGTATCAAGAGGGAGAGAGATAGAACAAGCACTTTCAAGACTTGGTTCATCTCCATCTGTTCCAACTGTTTTCATTGGTGGTGAGCTTGTTGGTGGAGCCAATCAAGTCATGAGTCTTCATCTTAACCGCTCTTTGATTCCAATGCTTAAAAAAGCTGGAGCTCTTTGGGTTTAATCTCATCACTCATCAATCTCTCAATAAATTATCATCTTTGATTTATATATTTTGAGAATAGATAGAGAGAGAGAGAGGCAGAATATAGTGTTGAGTTTGACATTATATTTTGACATTATAGATTTTGCGTGCATGGGGAATTAGGCTTCCGTTTAGCCTTCTTTTTTTGAGGTTAAATGTAATGTTTTTGGTGTAATGTTATCTTTTGATATGTACAATAACTAGTCAACTATATGGATGGATCATAGATGAGTTATGTTTTGATATTAAAGTATAACATATCAGAATATCTTTAATCTAATATGAAAAAGACCAACTCAGTCACTGTAGTAAGTCATGTATGAGCCATTGAATAAACTCATTTTTATTTATTTTTAATAACCCATGATGTATTAATCAGAGTACAAAAAGTACCCAACAAGACAATTACAGACAGTGTCTAATACACCAGCACCCCAAAGAAATCCTATTTAGAGAAATCTAAGGGGGGGATGAAACCATTCATACCAATTACATAATACTTTCTCTTTTTTTTGCAAGACCTGGCCACCACCACGTAAACATTTTGATTTTGTGCACAATTTCATCTAATTCAGGCACAACATTGTTGAAAATAATATCGTTTCGTGATTTCAAATACACCAATAGGTTGCAAGCCATAACACTCCTGCTCTTTTAATTGGACATTCTGAGTGCAAATTTTCCAGCATCTTTACAAATTGATTGCAGCATGACTGTTCTTCATTGTTAACAATACCCAACCAACCCTGAATCTTTGTCCACATCCTACTTGTCATATTACAGTTAATGAACAAATGATTACAGTCCTCCAGCTGCATACTGCAGAACACGCACAAACTCTCACTATTATTTGGAATGATTCCCTTATCTATAAGAAGATTCCTTGTTGGTAATCTATTCTTTAGTAATCTCTATTGAATAAATTTTAAATTTTATAAGTAGTGGGTTTTTATTAATAAGGTTGTGAGAAGGTTAAGAATCAAATGTAATTGAAAGGCCAAGAGATAGTGGGTTATAATAGTATTTACTAATAACATGTATTTTCTTAGAATAATAGAAGTCTTTGGGTCTATATAAAGACCAAGATTGTATTTTATTAAACAACAAGTTATAAAAATTTGCTTCTTCTTTCTAACAAATTGGCATCAGAGCTAATGGAAAACATGATGAATCAAATGCCGTTGTCACGGCTAACGAAGTCAAATTACGAAAACTGGAGTATCCAAATGAAAGTTCTTCTTGGATCTCTAGACGTGTGGGAGGTGACAAGAGATGCGTTTGAAGAACCAATAGAGGTTGTAGGACATACGACAACTCAAACTAAGACATTGAAAGAGACGCGATCGGAGGATAAAACGGCATTATACATGTTGTTCAGGGCTGTTGACGAATCAGGCTTTGAAAAGATTGCTGGTTCGACTACGTCGAAAGAAGCATGGGACACGTTAGAGAAAGTGTTCAAAGGAGCATGCCGAATGAAGCAAGTTCGACTCCAAACTCTTCGTGGCGAATTGGAGAGGATGTAGATGAAGGAGACAAAAATTGTATCTGACTACATCACACATGTACAAAAGGTGGTGAACCAACTCACCAGAAATGGCGAAACAGTAACTAATGCACGAGTTGTTGAAAAGATCTTGAGATCTTTAACAGATAAATTTGAGAATATTGTGTGTGCAATAGAAGAATCGAAGGACCTTTTGACGCTCTCAGTCGAAAAGCTCGCTGGTTCTCTCGAAGCACATGAACAACGTAAGATGAAAAAGAAAGAAGAAGCAGTCAAAGAAGCAAATCAAACCAAGGATTCGATCAAAGACGAAAAGGTACTCTTTTCTCAAAACTTTAGAGGAAGAGGACGTGGTCGTGGAGGTCGTGATAGTGGTCGAAGTGGTCGAGGCAGCAACTTCGAAAGAGGACATTCGAACCAACAAAATTGGCGTGGTAGAGGACGTGGTCAAAGAGGTGATCGATCGAACCACTCCAACTTCGAATCTACAAGTGTGGGAAGTATGATCATTATGCAAAGGATTGCAATTCCTATAAATGTTATAACTGTGATAAAGTGGAACATCTTGCAAAGGATTTTCGAATCGAAAAGAAGGTAGAAGAAACAACCAATCTTGCCTTGGAAGCTGGAGCGAATGAAGGTTTTCTCCGGATGGCTCAAAATGAAATCAACACCAATAATGACCAGGTTTGGTATCTTGACTCAGGAGCAAGTAATCACATGTGTGGTTACAAACACTTGTTTAAAGAAATGAAAAAAATTGAAGATGGTAATGTGTCTTTTGGAGATGCATCAAAAGTGAAGGTCGGAGGAAAGGGTACAATCTGTTACTTACAGAAGGATGACTTGATTGGATCAATTCAAGATGTTTACTATGTACCAGATCTCAAGACTAACATCTTAAATTTAGGACAACTTACAGAAAAAGGCTTTTTGATACTTATAAAAGATCGAATACTACATTTGAAGGACAAAGTAGGACATTTGATCGCCTGTATCGAAATGGAAAGAAATCGAATGTACAAACTGAATCTGAGGAACATTCGAGAGAAATGCCTACAAGTTGAAATGCAAGACAAAGCGTCACTATGGCATATGCGCTTTGGTCATCTACATCATGCTGGTTTGAGAAGGTTGGTGAAAAGGAACATGGTGCACGGACTACCAGACATGGATTATGAAGGAATGTTTTGTGAAGAATGTGTGCTCAGCAAATAAACAAGAACCTCATTTCAAAAGAAGGCAAAATATCAAGCTAAATAAATTCTCGAATTGATTCATACTGACATATATGGGCCAACCACTTCAGAATCCTTCAGTGGAAAAAGGTACTTCATTTCTTTTATCGACGATTTCTCACAAAAGACCTGGGTTTATTTCTTGAAAGAAAAGTCTGAAGCATTAGAGGTATTCAAAAAGTTCAAAGTAATGGTGGAGAAGGCAACCAACAGACATATCAAAGCAGTTCGATCTGACATAGGTGGTGAGTACACTTCGACGGCCTTTATGAAGTATTGTGAAGAGCAGGCCATAAGAAGACTCCTAACTGCACCATATTCACCTCAGCAAAATGGTGTGGCTGAAAGAAAGAATCGAACTATTCTTTACATGATTCGATCAATGCTTAAGAACAAGAACATGTCGAAAGAATTCTAGGCAGAAGTTGTACAATGTGTTGTTTATGTTCAGAATCAATGTCCACATTCGAAGTTAGAAGATCAAACACCACAAGAAGCATGGAGCGGACAGAAGCCAATAGTTTCTCATCTCAAAGTATTTGGTAGTGTAGCTTATGCATATGTACCATATCAACGAAGAACGAAACTTGAAGACATAAGTCAAAAGTATATATTCATTGGATATGATGAGAAGACAAAAGGGTACAAGCTATTCGACCCCATAAGCAACAAAGTGATCATGAGTAGAGATGTTCAAATAAACGAAGCGAGCAAGTGGGACTGGAATAATTCGACAGAAGTTATAGACGCAATCGAAGAATCATCTATAGCTGTACCAACAAGCATTTCAACAGAACATGAAGATACTGAAAATGAAGATGAACCTCTACAACCCAGAATGCGAAGTTTGCAAGACTTATATGATTCGACAAATGAGGTACACCTTGTGTGCCTTCTGGAAGATGCTGAAAACATCAGTGTCGAAAAAGGGTTACAAGACAAGAAGTGTAAAAGTGCCATGGATGAAGAGATTAGAGCAATAGACCGCAACAACACCTGGGAGCTAGTTGAATTTCCAAAACGTAATCAACATATTGGTGTAAAGTGAGTATTCAAGAAAAAGATGAACACTCGAGGAGAAATAGAAAGATACAAAGCACGACTTATTGTGAAGGGATACAAATAGAAAGTAGGAATTGACTATGACGAAGTGTTTACACCTGTTGCAAGAATGGAGACAATTCGATTGCTCATTTCTCAAGCTGCTCAATTCAAGTGGCCAATATTTCAAATGGATGTCAAGATAACATTTTTGAATGGTGTGCTCGAAGAAGAAATCTATGTCGAATAACCACTCGGGTATATGAGGATTGGAGAAGAGAAGAAGGTGCTGAAATTGAAGAAAACGCTATATGGGCTGAAGCAGGCACCACGGACATGGAACACATGCATAGACACATATTTCAAGGAGAATGGGTTCGAACAATATCCATATGAACATGCCATCTATGTGAAGAAAAATGTAAGTAATGTATTACTTGATGCTCTATATGTTGATGACCTTATTTTTTTAGGCAGTGATGTTCAAATGATAGAAGAATTCAAAAGCACCATGACACGCGAATTCGAAATGACAGACTTAGGTCTGATGAGATTCTTTCTTGGTCTAGAGGTTCGACAAGAAGAAACTGTAATTTTTTATTTCACAAGAAAAATATGCAAAAGAAATCTTGGAAAAATATAAGATAAAAAGTTGTAATCCAACTTCGACGCCAATGGAACCAGGCGCAAAATTGTCGAAATTTAATGGAGTAGAACGTGTCGAAGTAAGAAAATATCAAAGCTTGGTAGGTAGTCTTTGCTATCTCACATGCACAAGGCCATACATTTCATTAAGTGTGGGCATTGTAAGTCAATTCATGGAGGACCATTACATTCACATTGGAAGGCATTAAAATGAATTCTAAGGTACATCCAAGGAACAATGTCATTTGGAATGTTCTATTCAAGAACAAAAGACTACAAGTTAGTTGGTTACTCTGACAGTGATCGAAAAAAAACTTCAGGATATGTGTTCTTCATGGGAAACACAACATTTACTTGGCTTTCTACAAAAGAAATCGATAGTAACACTTTCTACATGTGAAGCTGAATATGTGGCAGCATCTTGGTGCGTTTGTCATGCAGTATGGCTTAGAAGATTGATAAGAAAGATGGAGCTAAAATAGGAAGGTGCAACAGTAATACAAGTGGATAACAAATCATAGATCAAGTTGGAAATGAATCCAGTAAAC